AAAATAATTGAATTTTTTAAAGAAAATGCGAGTTAAACATCTTTATTTAAAACTCACGTTTTAACGCATTTTTAACTATTTTCAATATCTTTTTGGATTATTTGATATGCCTATAATGTAGTTCTCGAAATAAGCTTTAAGACGACAAATAATTTGTAGATTCGATTAGTGTATGATTATTGGAGAATTTTTAAAATTAGCTTGTTATCGAAATTCAAATTTATTGTGATTTTGCCCCTTTTTGGTGGAGATTAAAATCAAATTTTTAATAAATTTTGTTAAAAGTTAAATAGTTATGGATTCCATGAAATATGTTATTAAAATTAATTGTTAATTTTGATTTAGATTTCAATCAATACCAAACATAGTTTTTTAAAAAAAAAAAAATTCAAAAGTTGGGAGGGGGGCACCCGGGTCTGCCCCTGGCACTACATGTATGCTTGAGAATTTGTAACGTTGATAGCATGTTTGGTAAGCTAGATTCAACCGGATAGGATATGGTGACTAACTAATCTCGTCTTTAATTTTGTCCCATTATGTCTTGTCAAGCATAGTGAACATGCTCCAATGATCTAATAACAACTTCTATAAAAATAAACTAGGTTAAGGCTTTACCATGCTCTCGGAATCCTTGAGCAAAATTGTACATCCATTCTCTAAATTTGTCCATCCCAGGGAATAGGGGTTACTGAATTTGCTCTGCCTGCATTTCCAAGAAAATCCAGTAAGGTTGTGATTAATGGAACTGGGAATTCTTGGTGAGTTATAGAGACAAGAAAATATACACACTCTTATTGATTTTAAAGTATTCTTTGGAAGGAGAAGGGGTAACACTATTGGCTAGCCGGATCAGGTAAAAGTCCTGTTGAAGATACTCCTGAATTGATTGGAATTCCAACAGCATATTTTGGGTGCAATTTCTTAGTAAATGTCGACTTTCCGCATTCTAGTTTCATCTCTACCTCCTTTCTTTGGTAGTAAGCAATGAAATGAATGCTTCAGAATGTTCAAAAACGCCTAAGATCAGTCAGATACAAGAAGCTTTTTCTGGGATCCAACAATGCTTCTTCACCCTTTATATAGAGGAAAAGTAGTGGTAGTTGAATCTTAACTTTTAGCTGCATGAGTCATTTTTGTGTCATAAAAAAGAAGGAGATCTTGTCGAGCACACTGGATCTATTGTGGACGTTCGTGCGGGAAAGGCTACGCTAGGGCGTGTGGTCGACGCGTTGGGATGTGGGGTTTTGACAAAATTTAATGACAGAATGATCTGGTATCATGGTATGTCTCCCAAGTGGCGTGGGGTCGGGTGGGGTATGCAGATGGGTAATCCATGTTTTCTGAGGTGGGATGTTTGCTTTTGTCAGGCTGCCAGCCACCCCTCAAATCTTTAGCACTTTGTTGGTCTAAAGGCTCATCTAGATAACCCTTCTTTTGAACTTTCTTTTTCAAATCCTTTCTTCAACTGAAGATTGTTACAGGTGTAAAGGAATTGTTTACAAAGATAGTGGGAGAGAGGATCTCCCCATCATTGCCACATCATTCCATGCCATGGTTTTGAATAGACTTATAAGGACTGCATTTGGTAACTGGATACTAACGATATTATCTGCATTTTTTATCTTTAATAAAAAAGACAGCTTTCATAAAGGGTATAGGATTCAGTTTCAATTTCTTGTTTCATTAGAGTTTGTAGTTCAATGTAGATTTTCTTCGTGTAGAAAATTTGAGTTGTAATCAATTTTTTGGAGATCGAGCAAGATGAAGAATTAAAAGTTGAAAAGTTCCTATAGAATTGAGACCGCACAAGAATTTTAAAAAAAAATTGTTTGACAGCCAAAAAAAAAAAATCTGGGTCAGCGACCCTGGCCCGCTACACATGCAACACTTGTAAGGGTGCTGTCCCTTTCTTGGCCCCATTCCATGTGGGCTTAGTTGTCCTTTATTTGGAGGGAAGATTACATATTCAATACTCCCTCCTTCCCAATTATATAGGCTGAGTTTCCTTTTTCTCTTGTCCCAAATATATAGGCTTGTTTCCTAATATAAAATATTTTATTGTGTTCTTTTA